CCCCCCCCCCCCCGATAGAAGTCTCCCGTCTTCCCTCCTCTTGGTATCTCTCTTCTTCGCACCCGATATTCCACCCTTAGGACGGTCTCTTATTTTCTCCCTCAGACAGACGTCGCGAGACCCCTCCTGCTCTCCTACCCCCAATCCGTCTACCTCTCAACCATCAATCTTCTTTCTGCGACTCAAATTTATCCGACAGCTTCTCGCGGTCTGCATTTGATTCTCGTGTACGTCATTATGGATCCAATTTTCTTACTACGATATGTCCCGGCGAGAATTTCAACCAGTTTCGAGGGACACATCCGTCTGGAACTTTTGGCTTTTGCCAGGATGGATCACGGTGAGGGATTGGCGGGCTGTAGCCGAGGTCTCTTTTAGAAATCTATATACCGTAGCGAGTGCCACTTTTACGCTTACACTTGGGTATTTAGCGATCTTGCGTAGCCACTTCAATTTTTTCCATGGTGCAAAAGACCAGGTGATTTATGCGTGAGTTAAAAATATTTTGGAAATTCAGGAATCAATTTACTTCTGGAAAGGCATAAAATCGAATGACAATCGGGCAGATAAATTATTCAACATTGCATCACGATAATGATCTAACATAAAAAAAAAAAAGAAAAAAAAAACAGCGATGGATCGAGAGGTCATGAAACGGATATGTAAAAGCATTAAAAGTATAATCCGACATAAAAAGAAAACCGCCATAAAGTATAAAGCCGTATAACGGGAGGACAGTTATTTTACTATTTTCTTTTCGTTCTTCCCTCGTTTATACCAAGTTTCGATAACGATCCGTAATTCGTCCCCACGGTATAAAAAAAAAAAAAATGTACGCAATTTCCTTGAAAACGGAAAAAAAAAATAATTTTCACCGCCACACAGAAAAAGGGTCAAAATTTCGCCAATAGTACTTCACCGACTTTCAGCAATTTTCAATATTCACGCGTCGGTTATTGGTAATTGATACATTTTTTTGTTTTTGTTTTCTACTCACTCGGCATCCACACGGCGAACGTTGAATTGACGAAAGGTGAGCGCGACTATTTCGTCCGGTTGTCCCGTGAACGTGTAAAGGAGACAGTCGATGTTCGGCGGATACCGTTTCGGAAAATCAGGCGACGTGAAGGTCCCACCCTGCGGGCTGTACGAGCTGCTGTACACGACGCAGGAACAACCTGGAGCAAAATAATGAGAGGGAGATAAGTCAAATTCAAAGATACAAGTATTGCGTCACAGACGTAAAGATTCAAAAAGATTATGACGATAACGAAGGTCGTATGAAAATTCAATTATAAAAAAAAAAACATTCAAGAATCGATAACGTATCAAATTTTTTTTTTTACAAATAGAACATTGTCCAGGCTCGTACGGATAGTCACATAGGTGACAAGACTGAATGATTAAAGGCGTCGATTATTCACTGAAGTTATTCCACGTTTTACACTCCTCGCGCTTCCCGTTATCCGTCAGACTCCGGCGCGCTTGGGAATTGCGAAAATTTAATTTCCTGTTTTTCAATTAACTTCTACGTTATTCCGCTAGAGACGCATGGGGGGGGGCCTCCCACCACCAACCTTACCCACCTCGTCTACGTAACGCCGTATATGTACATACCACCATACATAGGTATGTTCCCACTAAACACTTTTAGAGAAGCTCAAGAGAACGCGCCAAGTGCACGTGTATGATTAAATAACAGGATGACATTGAAATAAAATAAATTTATTTTGTTAAGAAAAAAAAAAAAAAATTTATCTGCGTAACGAGGTCGTAACAATTATCGTAAGTTAGCAAGAACCCAAAATCCAGCATCCTCGTCTCTGCTTTCGATCAAGAGGGATCAAGTGTTAAGTTTGATGCTGTCAACGATTGCCTATTGAATAAGGAAACGGTGCTAAGTTTTTTTTTTTACACGTACGTAATATACAGAGTGATCAAAGGCAAACGCACCAGCTGAAATTAGTCGCTAACGGGTAATTTCGTCAAAGGGAACAGCGCGGGCGTGGTTGAAAAAAAAAATTAAAGTTAACGGTACAATATTATTAACGTCATACCTTTTATTTATTTTTTTTTTTTTTTTAACAAGGTGGTCACACTGCCCCGACTAACGAAATCGTTGGATCGCGTCAAACTTCAGCCGGTGCGCTTGTCGCGTGTAACCCTGCACATATACACGTGCGCACACGCTATAGCGAGAATGAGCCTAATCGACTTATGAAATTACGTTCGGTCGGGCTTTGGCAACTTTTTGCACAATTCGTCTCTGTCAGAAGCAAGTATAGAGGCATCGGTTAGGTAAAGATGGGAGCGATTACCCTCATTAGGTGATCCATTAAGATCCCAGTGGCTTGTTTTACCGTGAGAGGAGCTAATCCAAACAGACCAATTTATTAAGATGGCAATGCGATTAATCAAGGCTCGCGGCGCGAGGTATTTGAAAAAGCCAAATCCAACAAGATTTCCCAGCGCCGGTTGCGCCTAGCGCGAGCCGTGACTCGTAAGGACCAGGAACAGGTCAGGTTAGGGCTAACGGGCTTTTATACGTAACGTGAATTAATAACGACCAGAGCCACAAATTAGAGGGACTTTTAGCAAATTAGCAAAAAAAAAAAGTTACTCGGAGGACATCCCTCCCCCCTTTCTCTTTCCACCTTGTTCTTTTCTTCCATTTTCGGTCTGATGCTTCAACGGTTACCTGACTCCCCTCCCCCTTCCGTCTCCACCCC